GTTATGGGGGACAATAAAAGAACAGGGACAGGAGTGAGGTCAAAGGGTCAAAAGAAGGGAACCAGACGGGGACACTGAGCAGAGAACCCCAGACAGCGCCCACTGCTCCTCGAAGGTGTCAAGGGAGCCAGTGGACACCGCCCAGAGGAATTCTGCCCGGATACTTGAACAAACGGAGGAGCGGAAATAGGCCCCACAGTCACAGGAGACTCCATCAGCCAACCTCCTCACGCTGGTTTTATAAATGGCCAGTTTTGCTAGAGCCAGGAGGAGATTGACCAGGAGGTCCCGCAACTTTGTGGGGCGACGGATAGGGAGTGCATAAATAAAAAGATGAGGGGAAAAGTAACCAAAATCATAACAAAATATCTTTGAGGAGCTGGAATAGGGACTGCAGCCTGGCGCACTCCACGTAAACATGCACCAGGGTTTCCCTCACGCTGCAGAAGGGGCAGGTGTCTGGGATAGGGGTAAACCATGCCAAGTACATTCCCGTGCTCACGGCTCCGTGAAGGAGCGACCAACTTAGGTCCCCGGTGGGCTTCGGGATCAGAGTAGAATAAAGGCTGGCCCACCGGGGTTCCTCACCCTCCAGAGGTGGCAGGAGGTCCCGCCACTTAGTATCGGGGTGGGACGCAAGGGTGAGGACATGAAGAACATGGAGCACAAGCGTGTATAGATGTTTCCTTGGCGTGGTCCAGAACAGGACCGGCTGCAGATCGTGCAGCCGGCTCATGGCGAAGGGACGGGGGGGGCGATTGGGTCTACGGGGCAGGGGCCTGATGAAAAGGTCTGGAGGGCTCGGAGTGGAAGGTGGGCGGGGCGTGCCCTCTCGCAGGACCTGGTCGAGATATTCCCAAACAGTGAGTGGTAAAGCGGCCCTCACCTCCTGAAGCACACGCTGGGGAGTACGAGGTCTGGAGAGCCCCATGCGCTGAGCGAGCGTCAGGGGATCCAGCCAGTCTCGCCCGTCATAGTCCAGGAGGTCTCCAAACTTTGGTGACTTCTGCCAGGACCAACCTCTGGCACACCATGGGGGACTCCGCCACCTGCACACGGAGTTGGGGGTTGTGTAGCAGGGGCTCCACGAGGAGATCTGCCCCCACGGTGGGAGCCACAGACCTGGTGACTGAGAACAGTTTCCAGGTCCAGAGGTGGTCTTGGTAGAAGACCGGCAGCCCGGAGAGGTCTCTCGGAAGGAGACAAAAGAGCTGCCGGTCATATCGGAGCCCTCGGAAGTGGCGCAGGAAGGCGTGCGCCAATATTCTCCACGCCGGACTACCTGCACCATAAAGGAGCCTCTGCAGGGCCTGGAGGCAGAAGACGTGGACCTGAGCATGCAAACACTTCAGGCCCTGCCCTCCCTCCTCCAGGGGTAGATGGAGAACCTCCGCAGAGACAAAGTGCAGTCCTGGCCAAAAGAACTCCAGAATCAACGTCCGGAGGTTGGCCAGGAAACCCGGGGCCAGGACCAGGGTTTTGAGTCGGTACCAGAGCATGGACAGGACCAGTTGATTGAGCACCAGTGCTCTCCCTTGAAGGGAGAGACACCGGAGCAGTCCTGTCCATTTCTGGAGCCGCTCCGACACCCTGCTCTCTAAACCTAGCCAGTTCTCCGGCGGAGACGGATGCGTGGCAGAAAGGTAAACGCCGAGATAGAGCAGCGGACCCACGCTCCACCGGACAGCCTGAAGTTGACCTAGGCGGAGGAGGCTGCCGAATAGATGGTCTGGCAAGCCTCCACCCGCACCAAGTCGCCCGGGTCCTGGACCACGAGGAGCACGTCGTCAGCGTACGCTGACAGGACCAGCCGCAGCTCCGGCTTCCGCAGCACCAACCCCGTCAACATCCTACAGAGGAAGGGCTCGATCGCCAGAGCATACAGCTGGCCCGAGAGGGGGCACCCTTGACGTACTCCTCGCCCAAAGGAGTCCAGGGTCCAGTTGAGCCTGACCAAATACTCTGCAGAGGCGTACAGCACCTGGAGAAAACCCACAAACTGGGGCCCGAAGCCAAACGCTCGCAGCTTGCCCAGGAGATCGACAGGGTGGACCACGGGTAACGCCTTCTCCTGATCCAGGGACAGGAGGGCAAACGACAGACCATCCCTACACCTGAGTTCCAAGAGGTCCCGGACCAGATACAAGTTGTCAAAGATGGTGCGGCCCAGGACGGTGTAGGTCTGGTCTGGGTGGATCACATCCGCCAGCACGGACCCTAGCCGCAGCGAGATGGCCTTCGCTACGACTTTATAGTCCGTGCTGAGGAGTGAGATGGGACGCCAATTCCGTAAATCGCAGAGGTCCCCCTTCTTCGGCAATAAGGCGAGCACGGCTCGCCTGCACGAAAGAGGGAGGACCTCGTCCTGCAAGGATTTGGCCCAGATGGTGATAAGGTCCGGGCCGAGGACGTCCCAAAACACGCGCTAGAACTCCATGGTCAGCCCATCCATGCCCGGAGATTTATTGGTGGGCATGCGGCGGAGGGCTTCCAAGAACTCTGCCAGAGTAAAAGGCAGCTCCAGCCGGTCTCGGTCGTCCATCCCAGAGCATTCTGCAAGCGTTAGGATCGGTCGGATCCTGGGAGAAAAGGTGTGCTTAGAAGGCCCTGGCCCTCCCGCACATCTCCGCCGGATCCGTGAGGGGGATACCATCCTCTGCTAGAAGGCAGGTGACATGCTTCTTGGCCCCCCTCTTTTTCTCCAGGGCATAGAAGAAGCGGGAGCCACGATCCATCTCCCGAAGGAGGCGGATGCGGGATCAAACAAAGGCACCTCGGGCCCGATGGTCCTCGAGGGTCCGCATTTCCTCCCGCTTCTCCCAGCATGCTCCGCAGAGGGATGGATCACCGGGGCTGGCGGCCAGACGCCTCTCCAGCTCTAAGACCTCCCGTTCCAACTCCCCTAACGCCGCATCCCTCCGTCGGCTGGCACCCCGGGTGTAGTCACGGCAGAAGAGCCGGGCGCGCACCTTCCCCAGGTCCCACCACCACGGCGCCGAGGGAAAGGCACGCCGCGGCCCTCGCCAGGCCAGCCAGAACTCCCAGAAGGACGCCACAAAGCCCACATCCTCCAACAAGCTATTATTAAAGTGCCAATAGGCTGGCTCCGGCCTCTCTGCGCAGAGAGAGGCTGTCACGGTGGCTAAATGATGATCTGAAAAAGGGGCCGGCCGGACGCTGGAGGAGTGGGCCCGTGAAAGATGGAAGCGTGACAAATAGATGTGGTCGAACCGGGAGTGGCGCGACCGATGGACTTCCACTCAGACAAAAGTGAACGTTGAAACGTCATCCGGGTGGTGGTCGCGCCAGACGTACACCAGGTAGTGATGTTCGATGATCTCCCGGAGGACGTCCACGGCGGCCGGGTGCTGCTCGGTCCCCGAGCAGTTCCGTTCTTCGAGGGTGGCATTAAAGTTCCCACCCAGGACCAGGCACTCGTGAGGATCCAAGGTGCCGAGGAAGGTGGACACCTGCTGATAAAAATGCAACCTCTCCGGGCCCGATGTCGGGGCGTAAACGTTGATGAGACGAAACGTTGGCTCCCTCCCTCCCCTCCTCTGGGGAGTGGGCCAACAGGCCCCCCCAAGGAGCTGTATCTGGAATAGCAACAATCAAGGGGGGGAGGGAGGATCTAGCAGCCAGCAAGTAGGTAGCAGAGATGGAGGGGGATTAGCCCAGCCAGGGTAGTAGCTGGAGCAGCAGCAACAGACAGCAGTTGTAATGAGAACCCAGGGCCTAGCAGCAGGAGGAGCAGCTCTCTCCCTACCTCCCTCCAGGCCAGTGAGGTACAGGAATCTGGTCAAAGGCAACCACCCCGGCCACTAGCTGAATAGGTTCCTGTTCTCTGAGTGACCAGAGCTGGGGCTACATTAGAGTAATCAGGAACCTGCTAGAACCAGTTAAGGCAGGCAGGCTAATTAGGACACCTGGAGCCAATTAAGAAGAAGCTTCTAGAATCAATTAAGGCAGGCACCTGGGTTTAAAAAGGAGCTCACTTCAGTTTGTGGTGCAAGTGTGAGGAGCTGGGAGCAAGAGATGCAAGGAGAGGGTGTGTTGCTGGAGGACTGAGGACCACAAGCGTTATCAGACACCAGGAGGAAGGTCCTGTGGTGAGAATATGGAAGGTGTTTGAAGGAGGCCAAGGGGAAATAGCCCAGGGAGTTGTAGCTGTCATGCAGCTGTTATAGGAGGTACTATAAACAGTTGCAGTCCCCAGGGCCCTGGGCTGGAATCTGGAGTAGAGGGCAGGCCTGGGTTCCTCCCAATTGACCTAGACTGTGGGCTCCTCCAGAGGGGAAGGTCTCTGGGTTGTTCCCCAAACCACATGGTGAATCTCTGAGGCAAGAAAATCTGCCAATAAGTGCAGGACCCACCAAGATAGAGGTGGAACTTTGTCACAATATTCTCACACCTTCTATGGGCCATCTTGATTATCATTTCAAAAGTTTTTTTTTTCTCCTGCTGATGATACCTCATCTCGATTGGCATCTTAAGGTTGTATGGCTACTTCCACCTTTTCATGTTCTCTGTATGTAAAAATATCTTCTTGCTGTGTGTTCCATTCTAAGCATCCGATGAAGTGGGCTGTAGCCTACGAGAGCTTATGCTGAAATAAATGTGTTAGTCTCTAAGGTGCCACAAGTACTCCTGTTCTTTTTGCGGATACAGATGAACATGGCTGCTACTCTGAAACCTGTCAGTAAGCAAGTATCAATCTTAACTATAGCACAGCTTAATATCTCTGCCTTAATATTTTGGGAAAACATTGTATTCTGGTTATTTTGAACTAGTGCTTTTTTAAGGAGCTGTTGCCTGGACCAGTGCATTTTTCATGTTCTTGGGTCCCTCTGAGTTCAGTCATTTCTGCAGCACAGTAAAGCTAGAGGATAAATATCAGATGCCTCTGAAACATGAGAGGGAAAATGAAACTTCTAAAAGCAGACGAAGTTTGCGTCTGTGTATCTAGGAACCAATGTGACCTCTTCACCGTATGGTAGTACCTGTTTTCATCACACAGCAAAAGTCAGCTCACCTTCTCCACACCCCCCAGCCCTTCGGTGTCCAGCAGCACCAGGATGTGGTCAGGTTTTCCAGGGTGGGGCACACACCACATCCAGATGCCTTGGGTGTGTGACTGGATTGTGGAGCCCAGCGAGAACCCTGGGAAGAGAGGATGGATTTCATATAAACACACACAGTACACCTGCCCGAGGTAACTATGAGCCCCAGAGAGTAGCAGGAAATAACTCAGGAGAGGGCACATGACTCCAGGTCTCTCACCTTTTCTCTTGCCAGCCAAAGAATTCAGGAGGTAGGATTTGCCCGTGCGGGACAGCCCCACAATGGCCACCACCACCACTGGCTGGGTGATGCCCTCCAGGATCTTCACAGCCTGGGGGTTCACCTGCAGGGCCCCCCTGGTGCTGTTCTGAATGAGGCACATGGGCTCCTCCATGAGCGTTTCTGAGGCCATTGGTCCTGGGCGGAATTGATCTGTAAGTGAGAAAACAGACTGAGCCAGCCAAGCAGGTACACTGCAGGGATTAGGTGCAGTAGGGGGATAAGGCGCAGTAGGAGGCAGGACTGATTTCACACCATCTCAACAGGCAAACAGCTCACTGAATTTTCAGACACGACAAATCCCTAGGGGAACAGAGTATTTCCCCAAACAGCTAAAGGATCAACAGCATGGAAATGCAGAGAGAAGGCACCATTTTAAAAATCAAACACATGCTGGGAAGTGCAGAATAGCACTGTTCAGTTCCCCCTCCAAGTGTCAGTAGCAGGTGCGGAGTCACGCAAGTCCAGGGCTGCCAGGGGCACTAGACACCCACAAGGGTGGTGCCACATCACCTGCCAGGATTGGGAGTGCACACTGCAGCACATGAAAAGTCAGCTCAGGTCAATGATGCACTATAGGGCATAGCATTTGAGCTCTACAACTCTTGACGGATTTAATATATGGCAGACCTTTAGCGTTTTTCATAGTAATTCCATCTACAGTCTCCTTTCCTCTGTCTCTCAGCTTACCTCTTCCTTTGGTACACGCTAGGATTTTCCCTGGCCCCAGCTAACCATTTTGTGAATTTTCCTTCCCTTTCCACAGTTTGTCTCCTGCCCCACTTGGGACGTTTCCCCACTCACACCCAGGCCAGATCAGGATTGCCCCCAGTCTGGGGATTCTTCGTCTGTCTTCTGGAAGAGACAAGAAGGAGCCCAGGCCAAAAACCCAGTGTTGGACAATAACACTGAGGATATGACAACACTTTCAGCTGGGGGTAAGATTCCTCGCTTGAAGAGACATGCCCACATTAGCTCTAGCATGTTAGCTTGATCAAACATAGCTGTGTAGCCATGGCAGTGCAAGTGGCAGGAGGGGCTCGCCACCTCGAGTACCATCCTGTACAAGACCCTACATATTTACTGAGGTCTCCCTCCTTAAATAAGGAGGAACTTCTGTCTGTGTCACTGTAGGATGTGATGGGCTGTTGGGATGGATGGTCTGTTCCTCTAACAAGAGACTCTGTGTGCTTGTCCATGAGGAATATAGGCAGTGGGGCATCTGGGTCATTGCAAAGTAGTCCAGAACCCCTCTTAAATCATGCCTTTTTCCCCTCAGATGTGCCTATTAACTTTCTGTCCAGATCTTCTACATTAGGGCTTTAATTATCATAATACCTCTGTTTTCAGTAATTGCTCTAGTTTCTCATCTACTGGCTTGTATTATGTAATGCTGTAAACCATATATTGTTACAGCTTGTATACAAGTAAAATATTAAGTGTTATATAAAAATAGAAAAATAATTCTCTAGGGCCCCTTGAATGTGATGATAAACAGTTTTTTTTATTTTTGCTTTGCAGGTGCTGCTACAAATGTCTTCAAACATGTAATTCCCTCTTTTTTTTTTGTTTTATTCATCTTATTCATTATATGTACAAGCCCTATGCATGGGGAAGACAATGTCTGGTAAAATGTTTCTGTATGACAAACACTTGCCCATGCTAAAGTATGAGAATGGCTAACTATAAAACTGTTTCACTAGAAAAGATTTCAGTCAACAATCAGTATTCCCCTGTAACTCAGGACAGCTCTCTTATCCCCATCTCCTGTTTTACTTAGTAAACTTTTAAGTTTCTTTAAAACCTTTTATTTGATATGATTATACACTGTCGGTTTATGAAAAGAACATTAAGATGACCGTTCTAAATTTTAAATGAGTCAGAAAATGAGGAGGGGGAAAAGGGGGTGGGTTTGGGTCCGTTTCTTCAGATAACGGTGTTAGGGGTTACACTCTGCCTGGTCTACACTGGGGGGGGGGAATAGATCTAAGGGTACATCTACACTACAGCGGGGAGTCGATTTAAGATACGCAAATTCAGCTACGTGAATAGCGTAGCTGAATTCGACATATTGCAGCCGACTTACCCCATTGTGAGGACGGCGGCAAAATCGACTTCTGCCGCTTTTTGTCGGTGGCGCTTACTCCCACCTCCACTGGTGGAGTTTGAGCGCCGATTCTGGGATCGATTGTCGCGTCCCGACGGGAGGCGATAAATCGATCTCCGAGAGGTCGATTTCTACCCGCCGATTCAGGCGGGTAGTGTAGACCAGACCTAAGATACGCAACTTCAGCTACGAGAATAGCGTAGCTGAAGGCGACGTATCTGAGATTGACTTACTTCGTGTCCTTGCGGCGCGGGATCAACGGCCGCAGTTCCCCCGTTGACTTTGCTTCTGCCTCTCGCCGAGCTGAAGTACAGCAATTGACGGAAGAGCGATTGGGGATCGATTTATCGTGTCTACACTAGACACAATAAATTGATCCCCGATAGATTGATTGCTACCCGCCGGAATGGCGGGTAGTGTAGACATACAGTGCTGAACTTCATGCAGTCAAAGCTCTGGCTTTTGGCTTTTATTTTTTTTTAATTGTAAAAAACCTATACTTGTGAGTGTTATACTTACCCTGGACTTTACAGTTTACAAGGAATAAGTCTTAAAAGCAGGGTTTTTTGGTGTAATTTTGTTTGTTTTTGGTATTCTGGGCCCTTCACTTAGGTAAAGCTTTAAAAAGCAAACTAACAGTAATCTTTAAAGTGCTGCTTTTAACGTAGATAAAACTGTAACAGGCAGCTTGGAGGGTTGGGCAGCCTAGTGGTTAGAGTGTGTGGCTCTCAGCCCCCTGCTTGTTTGTGGAGCCTCAGTCATTAAGATCATAGGGTTAGGGGGACCCAGACCCTCCCTTTCCACTGGGTTTCAGCCAAGGGCCATGTCTGTGTCAACCCCTGAATGAGGCGGGGCCCTCCGAGCAGAGAGTCAGGATCCACTTCTCTGGGCTACATCCTACCAGTCTGTTCAGTTTAGGGCATGGCCCCTTGTTCCAATTTGCTGGGCAGCCTGCTTCCCATAGGGCCTTCTTATGACTCTTGGGTGGTGCCTTGCCATGGTCCCAGGCTCCTTTGGGGCAGGACAGCCACACATTGGGGAGGGCGAGCCCCATAATGTCCCTGGGTTTGCTTACTCAGTTACATCAGGTGCTGATGGCTCCTAGGACCCCTTTGCAGTCTCCCTTGGTCTTGGCCATCTGATTAGTGCCCTGTCCCCTCAGGTAGCCAGTCAGCCCTGCACCGAGCCAGGCTATCTCCTTTTCTCCCCTGCCAGACCTGGCATGGCTGCATGTATAATGGGGTGTAGGCTAGCTTGGCCCAAAGTCTCTCTTTAAGCCCTGCTGTGTTGGCTGGAAGTTTCTCTGCTTCATCACACATTTCTCCACCACCCCATGAACCTATTTGGGGTCCACACACCCCCATCTACTTTCATCCATCCTGTGTAAAGAAGTCAGCATTCAGGTGGGCTCTTCCAGCCCGGTGTTGAATGTGGAAGGAAAAGGGCTGCAGGGAGAGGTACCATCTCATAATCCAGGTGTTAGTATCTTTCATGACACGTAACGATGACTAATGTGAAGTGAGTGCATAGTAGGAAATAGCAGAGTGAGTTCATAGCCCACTTGACTGCAGTGGCTTACTCTCTTGGGAACAGCTTCCAACTAATGTATAAGATGGGGTGTTCTTCACCTCCCACAACCTGGGACAAAACAGCTTCTAGACCCACGTCCGATGCATCAGTCCATAGCAGGAGATCTTTGGTGAAGTCGGGAATGTACAAAATGGGTTCTTGGCAAAGCTGGGCCTTCAGGGCTTTAAAAGCCTCCTCACAAGCTTTGGTCCACTGGATTTGCTTTGGGCTATCATTCTTGAGAAGGTCAATGAGACGTGCCACTATGGTTGAGAAACCCAAAATAAATTGATGGTTGTTCCCCACCAGTCCTAAAAGCCAGCGTACCTGTTTCCTTGAAGGTGTGGGGCACATCTGGAGGACCTGGAGCTTATTGACCAAGGGTTATGCTCTGCCTTTTCTAAGGTGTACCAGAGCTAGATCGTCACCTGGACAATGATGAAACATTTAGTGGGATTTGCTGTCAGGTCGGCCTCCTGGAGAGATCATAGCACACCCATCATATGTTTTAGGTGGTCCTACCAGTTTCAACTGTAGACTACGATGTTGTCTAGGTACATGGCAGCATATTGGCTATAGAGTTGGAGGATCTAGTTGTGACGAACTGGGCCTGTTCTCACTATTGTCTGTGCCTGCAAGACTTGGACTGTATTCCTGTCATCCAAATAAACCTTCTGCTTTACTGGCTGGCTGAGAGTCATGGTGAATCGCAGGAGGCCGGGGGTGCAGGGCCCTGAGTCCCCCAATACTCCGTGACACTAGTCCATTAGCTGCTAGAACATGGCCAGGGTCCCATGTAACCCAAAGGGCATTGTCCGGAACTGAAACAGCCCAAAGGCAGTGTAAAAAGCTACGTTTTCCCTTGACTGTGGTGTGAGGGGGATCTGCCAATATCCCTTCATCACATTCAGAGTGGTGATGTATTCTGCTTTCTCTAGGTAGTTGAATAGTTCTTCAGTGCAAGGCATTGAGTGCGCATCACATTTTGAGACTCTGTTGACCTTCTAGAATTCAATACAAAACCGGGTAGTCCCATCAGGCTTGGAGACCAACACTACAGGGCTTTTCCAGTCGCTGAATGATTCCTTGATTACTCCCAGTTCTAGCACTGATCAGAGTTCTTACTTTGTAGTTTCCCTCAACTTCTGGGGAAGGGGTTGAGGATGTTCTCTGACTTTAAGCACCAGTTCTGTCTGGATGTTATGAGTTAATAAATGGGTCCATCCAGGCTGGGTAGAAAATATGGAAGAGAAGGCACGGATCACCTATTGAGCCTGGGTTCTCCAGTCTGGGGTTAGGTTGTTTCCAATCTTGACCATCCCTGACTTTGGGACCTCAGCAACCTGTAGACCTAATTCAGGTTCAGGTAGGTAGAGGGCTATTAGTAGACTTTCTCGGGTTTTCCACAATTTTAAAAGATTCACATGGCAGATTTGGTGTACCTTTTGCTTGTCTGGTTGTTGGATTTCATAATTCA